GTCCTCCTCTGGATGTTTTGACTGAAACCACCAACTCATTACAGTGAAGTCACTTTGATGTCCGTGAACAACTGGACCCAGTGCGGTTCTTCCCTCAAGTAAACTTCCCTGGACCAGGCAATGAGAAGCAGCCAAGAGCTCTGTGCAGCGTCAGTCCATGCCCAATACGTGGGTTCCTTCTGAAGCATAGAAGCCACTTATGGACAACTGAAGTAGAATCCCAAAACGGTAGAGCCACGTTCCACGTGGGGCCTAGAACTATAAAGGTCAGGGAACTCACATTCCGCGTGAAGGGGGACTGTGGGCCTTCCGCCTGTCGAGTCGTTTCTATACCTTCTTATCTCCACTTTCTGCAGCTCCACATAGAAAAGTTAAGTGACTTTCTGTTGGCAGCTGCCAGATCCCCAATTGCCATGAATTGGAAAAATAATCTACCCCCTACTCTATGGTATGATAAGATCTGGCAATTTTATGTCATGGAAAAGATTGCCTACAAGAATGCCCAAATTGATAATGTGAAGGATAAAATTCTAGTGATTTGGCACCCGTTCTTGGAATTACATGATCACAGCAGATAAAGTGCCAAAAAATCTTTATCCTAGAGACTTGTTGCATTTCTAAGCTTGTTGTATTGGTTTTTATATTTTAAATTTATATTTTAAATATTTTATATTCATATAAATACTTTTTATCATGCTGTTTAGGTTCGCCATCGCTTTCCTCCCAAGGAGCAGGCGTCTTTTAATTTCATGGCTGCTGTCACAGTCTGCGGTGATCTGGGATCCCAGGAACGTGAAGTCTGTCACTACTTCCACGACTTCCCCTTCTATTTGCCAAGGAGTGATGGGGCCGGATGCCATGATCTTAGTTTTTTTGATGTTGAGCTTCAAGCCCACTTTTGCGCTCTCCTCTTTTACCCTGAGCAAGAGGCTCTTGAGGTCCTCTTCACTTTCTGCCATCAGAGTGGTATCGTCTGCATATCTGAGGTTGTTGATCTTTTCCCCAGCAATCTTAATTCCCGCTTGTGATTCATCCAGGCCAGCATTTCGCATGATGTACTCTGCATATATATTAAATAAGCAAGGCGACAATATACATCCTTGTCGTACTCCTTTTCCTATGCTAAACCAATCAGTTGTTCCATATCCAGTTCTAACTGTCGCTTCTTGGCCCTTATACAGGTTTCTCAAGAGACATGTGAGGTGGTCTGGTACTCCCATCTCTTTAAGGACCTGCCATAGTTTGTTGTGATCCACACAGTCAAAAGCTTTAGCATAGTCAATGAAGCAGAAGTAGATATTTTTCTGGTACTCTCTTGCTTTCTCCATAATCCAGCGAATGTTGGAAATTTGATCTCTAGTTCCTCTACCTCTTCGAAACCCAGCTTGTACTTCTGGTAGTTCTCTATCCACGTACTGTTGAAGCCTAGCTTGTAGGATCTTGAGCATGACCTTGCTAGCGTGTGATATGAGTGCAATTGTGCGATAGTTTGAACATTCCTTGGCATTGCCCTTCTTTGGGATTGGAATGTATACTGATCTTTTCCAATCCTGTGGCCACTGTTGCGTTTTCCAAATTTGCTGGCAAATGGAGTGCAGAACTTTAACAGCATCATCTTCTAAGACTTTGAATAGCTCAGCTGGAATACCATCACCTCCACTAGCTTTGTTGTTAGTAATGCTTTCTAAGGCCCATTTAACTTCACATTCCAGGATGTCTGGCTCGAGGTCAGTGATTATACCGTCGTGGTTGTCAAGGACATCGAGGTCTTTCTTGTATAGTTCTTCTGTGTATTCTTGCCATCTTTTCCTAATCTCTTCTGCTTCTGTTAGGTCCCTACCGTTTTTGTCCTTTATCATGGCCAGCTTTGCATGGAACGCTCCCTTGATTTCTCCAATTTTCTTGAAGAGATCTCTAGTCCTTCCCATTCTATTGTTTTCTTCTATTACTTTGCACTGTTCATTCAGGAAGGCCTCCTTATCTCTCCTTGCTGTTCTCTGGAAATCTGCGTTCAGTTGGGTAAATCTTTCCTTTTCGCCTTTGCCTTTCGCTTTCCTTCTTTCCTCTGCTATTTGTAAAGCCTCATCAGAAAGCCACTTTGCTTTCTTACATTTCTTTTTCTTTGGGATGGTGGTGATTGCTGCCTCCTGTACAATGTCACGAACCTCCGTCCATAGTTCTTCAGGCACTCTATCTATCAAATCCAGACCCTTGAATCTATTCTTCACCTCTACTGTATATTCATCAGGGATGTGATCTAGGTCAAACCTGAATGGCCTCATGGTTTTCCCGATTTTCTTCAGTTTAAGTCTGAATTTTGCAATGAGTAGCTCATGATCTGAACCACAGTCAGCTCCAGGTCTTGTTTTTACTGACTGGATAGAGCTTCTCCATCTTTGACTGCAAATTATATAGTCAATCTGATTTCGGTGTTGCCCATCTGGTGATGTCCATGTGTAGAGTCGCCTCTTAGGTTGTTGGAAAAGGGTGTTCGCTATGACCAGTGTGTTCTCTTGACAAAACTCTGTTAACCTTTGCCCTGCTTCATTTTGCTTTCCAAGGCCAAACTTGTCTGTTATTCCAGTTACCTTTTCACTTCCTACTTTAGCATTCCAGTCCCCTATGATGATGAGGACATCATTTTTTGGTATTAGTTCTATGAGGTGTTGTAGGTCTTCATAGAACTGGTCCAGTTCAGCCTCTTCTGCATCAGTGGTTAGGGCATAGACTTGGATTACTGTGATGATGAATGGTTGGCCTTGGAATCGGACCGAAATCATTCTGTCATTTTTGAGATTTGACTTTAGTACTGCCTTTTGCACTCTCTTGTTGACTATAAAGGCCACACCATTTTTTCTACGAGATTCCTGGCCACAGTAGTAGATATAATGGTCTTCTGAGTTAAATTCGCCCATTCCTGTCCACTTAAGTTCACTGATTCCTAAGATATCAATGTTCAGTCTTGCCATCTCATTTTTGACCACGTCAAGCTTACCTTGATTCATAGATTCCAGGTTCCTATGCAATATTGTTCTTTGCAGCATCGGACTTTCACCATCAGACACATCCGCAACTGAGCGTCCTTTCGGCTTTGGCCCAGCCGCTTCACTCTTTCTGGGGTTACTTGTACTTGCCCTCTGCTCTTCCTCAGTAGCATATTGGACACCTTCCGACCTGAGGGGCTCATCTTCCGGCGTCATATCTTTTAGCCTTTTGTTACTGTCCATGGGGTTTTCTTGGCAAAGATACTGGAGTGGGTTGCCATTTCCTTCTCCAGGTCAGAATACTGGCCAATTTAGTCTCGACTATTTTGATTGGGTCCTGGTCTGGACATTCCAGGCTAGCCTCATTTCATCAGATCTCGGAAGCTAAGCAGGGTCAACACTGGTTAGCATTTGATGTTAAAAGGGCAAATGAAGGAAGATTTTGTTGGACTACGGACTCCATTTTATAATTGGATAAGAGAGAAATACAAAGAAGAAGAGGAGATTGGATGTATACCCCGCCCTTCACTACCCAAAGGAGTCTCAGAGCGGCTTACAAACTCCTTTCCCTTCCCCTCCCCACAACAGACACCCCATGAGGAAGAAGAGGAGGAAGGAGATTGGATTTATACCCCGCCCGTCACTACCCAAGGGAGTCTCAGAGCAGCTTACAAACTCCTTTCCCTCCCCCTCCCCACAACAGACACCCTGTGAGGTAGGTGGGGCTGAGAGAGCTCTGACAGAAACGCTCTTTTTCAAGAACACCTCTGACAGAGCTACGGCTTGCCCAAGGTCATCCAGCAGCTGCAAGTGGAGGAGTGGGGAATCAAACACGGTTCTCCCAGATTAGAGTCCGCGCTCCTAACCACCACACCAAACTCCTTAATACTATAATATCAAGAGGCTTTTATGAACGTTTAACACTTCACAGTCGATCTCTGTATAATACGAAATGACAAGCAGAGAAAAGTTATATGCAGAAGTCTTATTATTTGTGTTCCTTCCCCTGCCCCCTGCCCCCATCTTTGTGTGTTCTAAAAACTTAATAAAACTTACTCTGAAAAAAAAAACCCAAACTGGTTAGCATTTGGATGGGAGACCACCGAGGAAGTCTAGAGTTGCTACACAGAGGCAGATAATGACAAACCACCCCCGTTTGCCTCTCACCTTGACCAAGATTGCGCAGGCTAGCCTGAATCTGTGAAATCTCAGAAGCTAAGAGGGTCAAGCCCTCATTAGTACTTGGACTGGAGACCAGGCTAGCCCATTCCCGTCAGATCTTGGAAACTAAGCAGGGTCGGCCCTGGCTAGTATTTGGAAGGGCAGCCTCAAAGGAATACCGGGGTTGTGATACGGAGGCAGGCAAGGGCAAACCACCTCTGAAACATCTCTTGCCTTAAAAACAAGTCTAGCTCGCCACCTAGTGGTGCACAATGCTGAAGGAGCTAGGACTTCTGGATGCCGGACAATCTTAGGATCTCCTGGCTATTCTACACACAATGCCACATGATAATTAAGTAGGAGACCACTAAGAAAGTCCAGGGTTGCTATGCAGAGGCAGGCAGTGGCAAACCCACTTCCTGTTTGCCTCTTGCCTTGAAAACCCAGTAAGTTGGCTGCCGCTTGATGGCACTTTTCACCACCACACCACTTTCGACTGGCGTTTTCTCTCTGGAATGTCAGGAAAAGGTTTCTTCCTAGCCCAGCTATACAAGGGCTTTAAAAAAAAACCCAAACCTGCAGACATCAGAGGTTAAATCTGGGGACCTGCAGCATGCAGGTGTGTTAAATCTGGGGACCTGCAGTATGCAGAATCCATGGTCCTTGCCCACAATCGCACCCTGAACTTCTAAACACTTTCCTTGATAAACCATCTCCAGCAAAAACTGTCTCCTACAAAATACGTGAAGTGGTAACAATCCTATTCTGACCGCTCACAAGCCAAATGCTATTTTCCCAGCGTGACGAGAGAAGTCCCAGTAAGAACTGGAAATCAGGTTTCCTCGTAAGGGTCACCTTTTCAGGCAGCTGTGCTTCCACTTCCTTCTTTAACCTTCTTAGCAAGAAGGGACGCAGCACTTTGTGCAAGCGACGGATGATCAGGATCGTCTCTTCTTCATTCAAATCCACCTGTTTTGGCCCAAGTGTTCAGAGAAACGCCAGTTATTAAAATGTCTAAGGACACCCGAAGACGTCTGATCAGTACATAAGAACATAAGAGACGCCAATGTTGGATCAGGCCAAAGGCCCATCCAGTCCAACACTCTGTGTCACACAGTGGCCAGAAATACCAGTGCCATCAGGAGGTACAGCAGTGGGGCCAGGACATTAGAAGCCCTTCCACTGTTGACCCCCCCCCCAAGCACCAAGAAGACAGAGCATCACTTGCCCCAGAGCCCCTAGCTATACCTTGTGGCTAATAGCCACTGATGGACCTCATAAGAACATAAGTAAGACAAAAGAATTCATCCCACTACAAACGATGGCACAAAACAGTTTCACGGCAGAGAAGCGGCGCCTGTCGGCTCGCATCTCAGCACACCGAGGCCCCTAAGGCGGAGCCGGGCCACTGGTCCATCCAGCTCAACATCCTCTGCCAGGGCTTCAGGCGGGGAAAAGGCCCTTTCCGGCTTCCTTAACTGGAGATACCAGGGACTGAACCTAGGATTGAGCAGGCACCTTTGGAATTTCAACATAGCATGCTGGACACAGCCACAGAATGGCTGCTGCAGGAGGCAGAGTGACCACAACTTACTTCCAGTCACTCATTGAAAACCCTTTTGCTTTGGTGATGGCTGCTGCCAAGGTAACATTTTTACAAAATCTGCAATGCCACTCAGAGCTCCAATGGCCAATCAGAAGCCTTGCTGGGCAAAACCACAGCTGGCCCTGCCCACTTTCTGAAAAAATGCCTAGAGGGCGCCCAGGTGCTCATGGGCACCGTGTTGGGGACCTCTGCCCAAGACAGTTGGCACAGTCCACTCACAACAAGCGGAAAGAGCCTTGGCACTGGGCAGAGACGGTGGGGAAGGGCAGAGCGGCTGCTGATGACCAGATTTAAAGTTTTGCAAAGTTTTAGAATACCGACAAAAGTACTCCCTTTGAAGGGGCAAGATCTCAAAATAACATACCCCGTTTTTTAAAAGGCTGGAGTAAGAAGTGTGTGTGTGTTGTTAGCTCCCAGGGATGAAACAAGCATCACGCAACAAAGTGGGCCCAATACTTGCACCGGTACCTCAAACAGTGATGGATGCATTGACCCACATTTCCCCCGCGGCAACACTGTTTGCTTTGATTGCTGAAAAAACACGGCCTCCTCAGGACCGGCACAGCATTTCAGGTGGAAGCATTTCCAGCTACTGCGTGCTTTGTACAGCCCTGGCAGTAATTACTGCCTTGGACACCACAGTGGAAGAGGGCATTGGGCTTAAGAAGTTATGACTAGGTTTACCATAACAGCACCCTGCTTTGGCATACACTTTAATACCAACTTGATCTCTTTTGATAAAAGATCAAGATGGGTAGCCGTGTTAGTCTGCCTGTAGCAGTAGAAAACAGCAAGAGTCCAGGAGCACTTTGAAGACTAACAACACTTGTGGGCAGGTGTAGGGGCTTTCGTGAGTTCCTGCTCACTTCTTCAGCGTCATCTGCGTAGAAAACAAGAACTGTCTCAGAATCACAGGGACCTCGGCGTTAAAAATGCACACATTTTGCTCCTCACCTTTATCAAGAACCTGAGAATTCCTATGGCTGGTCAAATCTCTTGGCCTCCTGTTTCAGGGTTCTCTGCTCAGTTACCTTCATTCCATTAGGAAGTTAAACATTAAGCCCTGCTGGTAAATTTCTGAAAAACAGTGGCTCTGACTCATGTAATATTTATATAGATAAAGGTAAAGGTTCCCTTGCTCGAAAGCCAGTCGAGTCCGACTCCAGTCGAGTCCGACTCATCTCCGTTTCAAAGCTGAAGAGCCAGCGCTGTCCGAAGACGTTTCCGTGGTCATGTGGCCGGCATGACTAAACACCAAGGTGCACGGAACGCTGTTCCCTTCCCACCAAAGTGGTACCTATTTATCTACTTGCAATTTCTTGCTTTCAAACAGCTAGGTTGGCAGGAGCTAGAACTAGAGACGGGAGCTCACTCCGTCATGCGGCAACTCGGGTCTCGAACTGCTGAACTACCGACCTTCCACATGCTGCAGTTCAGCGTATTAACCACTTGAGCCACCGCAGCTCCTTCCTTTATATATACATTCCTTCATATATTCCTTTATATAGCACTGTGGAATTGTTTCGTAGTTTTAATGGTTTTAAACTCGTTCAGTTTTACTGTAAGCCGCCCTGAGCCTGTCTTGGCGGGGTATAAATCAAATAAATAAACAAAGCGCCTACACTGCCACAAATTTTGTTATGTCTTTAAGTTGCTACTGGACTCTTGCTCTTCTCTTTTGATAAAAAGCACACTTTTTCTATGCCAGTTTTAGCATGAAGGTAAACGAACTCTTGAGTTCACAGCCGAATGCTCACGACGCTGGGAGTGTGGTGCCGTTGACAATTTAGCTACACTGGGAGCTCTGCAGAAGCGTGTGACTCTTGTAAACAGAGTGGTCCAGCACTTTCCCCCACGCCTACCTTTTCTCCAGTCATGGCAAACGGAGCGTTAAACCACTGTTCAAATGTGCTACAGCTCTTGAAGATGGTCGGAAGGAGGAAGTTGAGCAGAGCCCACAGCTCCGGCAGCTTGTTCTGTAGTGGGGTCCCCGTCAGCAGCAAGCGACGCGGGGCTACGTAGTGCGTGTTCAGGACCTGGGTGAGCTTGCAGTGGTGATTCTTCATTCTGTGACCTTCGTCGACAATCATGTACTTCCAACGAATCTGAAGATCCAGGAGAGCAACCAAATCTGGGTTAGAACAGGGATGAATTCTACCCATTGGAGAAAAGTTTTAGTAAGGATCTCTCTCCTGTGCACGGGTATTAAGCTTTCAACTGGAAATAAGAATATAGAATCATAGAATCACAGAACTGGAAGTGGTCCTACAGGCCATCTAGACCAACCATCCCCCTGCTCAATGCAGGATCAACCTAGAACATTTCTGACAAGTGTTTGTCCAGCCACTACTTGAAGACTGCCAGGGAGGGGGAGCTCACCCCCTCCAGAGGCAGCTGATCCCACTGTTGGAACAACGTTTACTGTAAAAACGTTTTTCCTAATATCCAGCCGGTACCTTCCTGCCCTTAATTTAAACCCATTCTTGCGAGTCCTGCCTTCTGCCGCCAACAGGAACAGCTCCCTGCCCTCCTCTAAGGGGCAGCCCTTCCAATATTTAAAGAGGGCGATTCTGCCCTCCCTCAACCTCCTCTTCTCTAGACTGAACATTCCCAAGCCTTTCCTCATAGGGCTTCTTGGTCTCCAGGCCCCCGATCGTCCTCATCACTCTCCTCTGCACCCGCTCCATTCTGTCCACATCTGTTTTGAAGGGAGGCCTCCAGAACTGCACACAAGACTCCAGGTGTGGCCTGACCAACACAGTGCACAGTGGGACTACCACATCTTGCGATTTGGATGTGATGCCTCTGTCGATACACCTCAAGATCGCATTAGCCTTTTTTGTTACTGCGTCACATTTGCCACTCGTACATAAGAACATAAAAGATGCCAATGTTGGATCAGGCCAAAGGCCCATCCAGTCCAACACTCTGTATCACACGGTGGCCAGAAATACCAGTGCCATCAGGAGGTCCACCAGTGGGGCCAGGACATTAGAAGCCCTCCCACTGTTGCCCCCCACCCCCAAGCACCAAGAAGACAGAACATCACTTGCCCCAGAGCCCCTATCTATACCTTGTGGCTAATAGCCACTGATGGACCTCTGCTCCATATGCTTATCTAATTCCCTTTTGAAGCCGTCCGTATTTAACTTTCGGTCCACCCGTGCCCCGAGATCTTGCGGCTCAACAGTAAAATAGCACGGGAAGAAGAGGCTGCTTCCCTTTTACGTACACCCAAGCGGCCATCTGTGAAGTCAGACCTACAGGGTCATAGGAGAAAAAGATGTTCTGTGTTTGTATGTGTGTGTCTTTTGCACTGTGTTGCAGGAGGGTGCCTGAAGGGCCAACCAGGAAGAAAGGGGTCACAGCAGAGAAAACAACCGCAACCCCAGAGGGAAACTCACCCGCAGGATGGGAACCAGGCAACTGGGCAGACCGAGGCTGGCAATGAGTCTCAGGTGTGAAAGTGGGAAGAGAAGCCCTGCCCTCTGCGAGGATGAAGCGAGGCTGTCAAGGGAGAGGGGCAACCTCAACCCACAGGTGGGGCTAGCAGGTGAAAGAGGCGTGCCACATGGCAGAAGGGAGGCAAGGGAGAGGAAGCCAAGCAGGCTGTGATGTCTGGGCTGAAAGACTGTCTCTGTGACTTCAGCTAGTCTGTGAATTAAAGGCTGCTACTGCCCTGACCTGAGGTCATGATCTGGGCTGCGCAAGTAAAGGCCTAGCAGGCCCAGGAAGCCTGAGCAGCGGTGGGAGAAGGCCAGGCCTACAACTCCCAGAAGTCCCTGAGAGGTTTTGGCGCCAATTTTAGCCAATCATAGAGGAAGGGGACTTATAACAAAAGAGCTGGTACAGAAGGAGAGCTATTCTTTCTTCCAAGAGAGCAGGGCCAGAGGGAAGGCTGCTGCTGGGAGAGACCCTCACCCTGAGAGGAAGGGTGAGCAGACTCAGGCCCCACTGAGACAATGAGCGAGGGACTGTGAGTCTAGTCGCGTTCGGGCATTTGGTCTCTTTTCTCTTCACCTCCTTATTGCTGCTGTTCTTGCACCATTTCACATATTTGACCGACCTCCTATAAAAATAAACCTCTTATTTGTTGTTTACTCTGCCTGGTCCTCATGTTATTATTCGGCCCAATAAGGGAGGCCTGAAGGTCTTGGGAGGCTGCTCTGGGCCTTCTCAAGGGATCCTAAAGCCAGAGTGGTGGCAGCGTCAGGTGACCCCCCCCCCCCCCGAGCCGTGACAACTGGATAGCCCGATCTCGTCAGACCTCGGAAGCTAAGCAGGACCAGTCCTGGCTACTATTTGGATGGGGGGCCTCCAAGGAATACCAGCGTCGTGACGCAGGGGCAGGCCATGGCCAACCGCCTCTGAATGTCTGCTGCCTTGAATAGGCCCATGGGGATCGCCGTAAAGTCAGCTGTGCCCTGACGGCACGTTCCTCCACCATCACTGCAGCACACGGCGGCCTCTTTCTGGTTACTGCAGCCAAGAACAAAGGGGGGAGCGCCGGTAAATGCCCACCTCCCAGCCTCGTACGGCCTTGCCGCTCACACGCTTGGCTCTATCAGGTTTCCGTATGCACACGGGCACTCCCACTGGGAGTGAGTAAGTGAGGCCAGCATCCAATTTAGCTCTAATGAAAGACGGGAAGGGACTGAAGAGCCGCTTGGAGCCGTTCCAGTACCCATTTGAGAACCCTTCTCAAAAGAACAATGTCTTGCGGCATCTTAAGCAGACTTCTGCCAGATGCATTAAGCGTTCCGGATTCAGCTGACAGACAGGGTGATTTACAGGCAGGGCTTCAAGCAGCGGGAAGCGGAACTGGCACAGCAGGCTGTGCGTTGCCAAGAGAGTAAATCATCCATCCAGAGTGGGTGGGGATCGCTGCCAACTTGGATTCCATCTGTAATATTGGCTGTAGTAGACGAAAATGGCCACCTCTCTCAAATCTGTCGCAAAGGACAATCACTGGGGGAGGCAGGCAGGCATGTTTTGCTCTATTCTTACATTTTCAAGGACAAAATTAGGAAAACATAAGGCCCCTGCTGAATCAGACCAGTGGTCCACCTAGTCCAGCATCCCGTCTCATACGGGGGCCAGCCAGTTCCTCTGGAGGGCCAGCAACAGGGCAGAGAGGCCGAGGCCTTCCCCTGATAAGGACACCAGAAGAGCCCTGCTGGGTCAGACCAGTGAAGGTCCATCTAGTCCAGCATCCTATCTCACACAGCGGCCAGCCAGTCCCTCTGGAGGTCTAACAACAGGACATAAAGGACGAGGCTTTCCCCTGATGTTGCCTCCTGGCACCTGGATTCAGAGCTTGACTACCTCAGTATGTGGAGGTTCCCTTTAGTATCCAAGACTAGTAGCCTCTAATGGACCTTGTGACGACCCCTTATTTGGGGAGGTCTGGTTTCCCTTTAAAAGTGTTCTTTAGGTTTTTCTCTACTGGGTAATACGGCTGCCACCAGGAAATTTATAAGGCTTTCCAAACCTTTATAATATATTATCTATCAATGGGTAGGTATACCGAGGGTTTAGGCGTTCACGAAGGTCTATGTGGTCTGAGGAATATTCTTTCCAGAGCTGGTATACTTGAATGAAATAACATTTATTTAAATAAAGCGTAAAAACGAGAACATGTAAACAGTACTGGGAATGATTTGAACCATTGCTTGGTGTCTCTCACAAGCTTCTCCTTTACTGACAGGGAGGTTTCAAGCAACTTTGTAACATAAACTCAAGGTCATGCAAGTTCACTGTTTCTCTCCTTCAGACTTCAGAATGCACTTAATTTATCAACTGTCTTATTCAACTCTAAGACATAGAACTTAACAACCCACACAGGGAAGCTTCTTCTCTCTCATACATAGCTGAACTCTTTTACTACACAGAACCAAATTATCCCACACAGGGATGAGTCTCCTTCCACTCAGAGACAGCACTTAACTTAACTGACTTAACTGTCTTTCTCAACAGTCATCTCACTAACGGTCACTCTTGACAGACATAAATATCATCCACACAGCATCACTTCCAAAACCCCTCCCCCTCTCTGTCACTCACCAATCACACCACTTGCCTGTTTCAACCACACTAGACTTTCATACAGCTATGCATCCAAACTTTTAAAGACACACACACATATAAACAAGGAATCGTTACAGACCTCTTCTCCATGAATCTGTCTAATCCCCTGTTAAAGCCATCTATGCATGTGGCCATCACTACATCCTCGGGCAGTGCATTCCCCATTTTAATCTCTCTCTGTGTGTCCATCCTGAATCTACTCTATTATTGAGGAAACAAAGAAATGCTACAAATAAATACACGAAGCTGCCTTCTGCTAAGTCAGACCACTGCTCTATCAAACATTGGCTGGTATTGACTACTTTGACAGGCAGTGGCTCTCCAGGGTCTCAGGTCATGGTCTTTCTCATCACCTCCTGCCTGCTCCTTTTAACTGGAGATGCCGGGGATCGAACCAGGGACCTTCTGCATGCCGAGCAGAGGCTCTGCCACTGAGCCATGACACACACACCCCACTTGATTTATCTGCATTTCTAACGTATATAGAAGCCCAATACAACTCGTTGGATCTCGGGACAGCTGCCAGTTAAAATATTTCTGGCAAGATACCCCCTCTTGATTTCTTTCAACAACATGGAAACATTAAAAAGCAGCGACCCAGAAGGAAGCCGATAGCCGAGAAGCCTCACCTTGGCAAGAATGTGCTTATCTTTGATGATATATTCATACGTAGTGAGCAAGACGTTGAATTTTCCACTTCGAAGCTGAGGTACGAATGCCCGCCTTGCAGCTGGAGAGCCCTAACAAAAAAGAAATAGGAGAAACTCAGCAGAGCTCTTAGGAATGAATTACCAGATGGTGTTTTGGATTTGGCAGCCAATACTCTGACACCCAATTCACGCAACTGGCTCATCAGCAAAACCAAACTGTCTGTGACCCAACTTCTGTGAGGGAAGGGAAACAATCACGCTCGAGCGTGTCCAGAAGAGGGCAACCAGGATGGCGAGAGGGTTGGAATCCAAGTCTTATGAGGAAAGGCTGAAAGAGTTGGGTCTGTTTAGCCTGGGAAAGAGAAGGCTTAGAGGGGACATGATTGCAGTCTTCTGAAGAGCTGTCATGTTGAAGATGGACCGGATCTCTTCCCTCTTGCTCCAGATTGCAAGACTAGATCTGGTGGGTGGGAATGACAAGGGAGTCGATACCGGCTAAATATCAGGAGAAACTTCCTTACTGTAAGGGTGGTTGAGCAGTGGAATGGACTGCCTCAGGAGGGGGTGGAGGCTCCTTCGCTGGATGTTTCCAAGCGGAGGAGGCTGGACGGCCATCTTTTGGGTATGTTGTAGGGCTATCTTTCGGCTCTGCTCCTGCAGAGTGCAGGGGGTTGTTGGACTAGATGACCTTGAAGGTCCCTTCCAACTCTAACGTTCTATGATTCTATCAGTGGGGTTGAGATTAAAATCCTTTCCAGGAGAGAGAGCGGCAGCTTCGGGGGACAGGCTGAGCAGTTAGCTTCCCTATGGTGCAGAGAGTCCCAAGAGAGGGCTCAGGAGCTGGTGATGGACTGAGAAATAGGAAATGTAAGAGAGGGAAGCCGGAGGAAAAGGGCAGAAGGTACAGGGGAACAAAATGTTGTCGAAGGCTTTCATGGCTGGAGTTCATTAGTTGCTGTAGATTTTCTGGGCCTTATGGCCGTGGTTTTTGCATTGTAGGACCTGAGGTTTCGCCAGCAGCTGTGACTGGCATCCTCAGAGGTATAACACAGAAAGATGGAGCACTCTCTGTGTCAAGGTGAGAAGACAATGGTAGGCAGGTGATTTAGATCTACTCAGGAAGGTGGGGTAGGGCTGAGTCATGATCTTGTAGGAGTTTCCCAGGCTGTGAATATGCTAATGGAGGAGCTTTCTTGTGCCCCAAAGAGCACTGAGGTCAGGAACGCAGAACCAGCTGACTCTTCCTGGCCCGAGAGACGTCAAGTTGACTGCCACTAGAGCCAGGGCCTTTTCAGCAGTGGCTCCATGCTGGCGGAATGAGCTCCCGGATAACATCAGGGCCCTGCGGGACCTTTTACAGTTCTGCAGGGCCTGTAAAACGGAGCTCTTCTGCCAGGCGTTCGATTAGGGGCCGCCGCTGAAGAGTGGCCACTGGTGAATGCGCCACGGACGAACGGGCCTCCAGAACACATCTCGGCCCACACAAACGGGCCGCCAGAACACATCTCGGCCCGTATGAAACACCGATCGGTTAATGCCATTGTCTGTATATTGTACGCCGCCATCATTATTATTATCAACATCATCATTGGCACGGTTAGTGGTTGTTGTTTGCATTTACTCTGTATTTTAATGTATTTATTGTTTTAATGTTTTAATGTTGTTAGCCACCTTGAACCAGCTCTGTGGCAAGGCGGGATATAAATCGAAATAATAAATAAATAATAAATAAATAAATAAGACTCTTTTGTACATGGAAACCTCCTCAGGAAACAATCCATATACAAAAGAACCTCCTCAGGAAAGCTCCTCCATTAGCATGTTCACAGCCTGGGGAAATTTATATCTACTCAGCCCCACCCCCTCTTCCTGAGTAGATATAAATTACCTGCCTACCATTCTTCTTCTCACCTAGACACAGAGAGTACTCCATCTTTCTGTGTTATACCTCTGAGGATGCCAGTCACAGCTGCTGGCAAAACGTCAGGTCCTACAATGCCAAGACCACAGCCATACAACCCGGAAAATGTGCAACAGCTAATAAGACAATGACAAATGGGGAGGAGGGAGTCATAAGAACATAAAAGAAGCCAATGTTGGATCAGGCCAATGGCCCATCCAGTCCAACATTCTGTCACACAGTGGCAAAATATACCAGGTGCCATCAGGAGGTCCAGCAGTGGGGCCAGGACACTAGAAGCCCTCCCACTGTTGCCCCCCCCCCAAGCACCAAGAATGCAGTGCATCACTTGCCCCAGAGTAATTATCTATACCCTGTGGCTAATAGCCACTGATGGACCTCTGCTCCATATGCTTATCTAATGCCATGTTGAAGCCGTCAATGCTTGTAGCCGCCACCACCTCCAGTGGCAGTGAATTCCATGTGTTTATCACTCTTTGGGCGAAGAAGGACTTTCTTTGATCCGTTCTAATCCGACAGCTCAGTAATTTCATTGAGTGTCCACAAGGAGGTCTTGTATTGTGAGAAAGGGAGAAAAGTATCTCTTTCTCTACCTGTTCTATCCCATGCATAATCTTATAAACCTCAAGCATGTCACCCCTCAGTCGTCGTTTCTCCAAGCTAAAGAACCCCAAGCGCTTTAACCTTTCTTCATAGGGAAAGTGTTCCAACCCTTTGATCATTCTAGTTGCCCTTTTCTGCACTTTTTCCAAAGCTATAATATCCTTTTTGAGGTGTGGTGACCAGAACTGTATACAGTATTCCGAATGAGGTTGCACCACTGATTTATATAGGGGCATTATATTGGCTGATCTGTTTTCAATACCCTTCCTAATAATCCCCAGCATAGCATTGGCCTTTTTTACTGCAGTTGCACACTGTCTCTACATTTTCAGTGAGTTATCTACTACGACTCCAAGATCTCTCTCTTGGTCAGTCTCTACCAGTTCGGACCCCATCAACATGTATTTATATTTAGGATTTTTGGCTCCAATGTGCATCACCTTGCACTTGGCCACAATGTATCCCATTTGCCACGTTGACGCCCACTCGCCCATCCTCGACAGATCCCTTTGAAGTGCCTCACAATCCTCACTGGTTTTCACCACCCTGAACAACTTTCTTTAATCATCCGCAAATTTAGCCATTTCACTGCTTACTCCCAACTCCAAATCATTAATGAACAAGTTAAAAAGCATCGGACCGAGTACTGATCCCTGTGGTACCCCACTGCTTACCACCCTCCACTGAGAAAATTGCCCATTTATACTCACTCTCTGTTTCCTATTAATTAGCCAGTTTTTGATCCACAAAAGCTCCTTTTATCCCGTGATTTTTGAGCTTACTTAGGAGCCTTTGATGAGGAACTTTATGAAAAGCTTTCTGGAAGTCAAGGTAAACAATATCTATTGGGTTCCCCCTGTCCACATGTTTGTTCAACCCCTCAAAGAACACTAAGAGGTTAGTGAGACCACATGAATAGACCACATGAATAAACCACATGACACGCAAGGACGAGAGAGAGAGAGAGAGAGAGAGAGAGATAGAGAGATAACCTGGGTTTATACCCCGTCCTTCACTACCCGAAGGTGTCTCAGAGCAGTTTACAATCTCCTTTCCCTTCCCCTCCCCACAACAGACACCCTGTGAGGTAGGTGGGGCTGAGAGAGCTCTGAGAGAGCTGCTCTGAACTTGTGACTGACCCAAGGTCATGCCAGCAGCTGCATGTGGAAGAGTGGGGAATCAAACCCAGTTCTTCAAGATTAGAGTCCATGCTCCTAACCACTACACCAAACTGGGTCTCTCAGGGGAGAGAGACAGGGATATTAGGAAGGCTAGCTGAGACAAAAGATAATTCAAGGGGTGGATGAAGTAGGCTGTGGGCTGAACTTGAGTAAACATGGAGGAGTGGCGGTGGGGGGGGAGGAAGAGCCATGGGGCACAACACAGGGGCATAAGAACAATGGGGTGATGACAGGGCAGGGAGCCCAGGGGGCTGACTAAGAATGACAGCAGAGACTGAATTTCATATTGTCTTCCGCTAATCAGCCAGTGCCTTGGGTGAAGGCATCTCGCATCAATGCTCTAGCATTCAAGAGCTAGACACCCCACGCACATCAGCGCGTCCTACGCCTTATTGTTTATCTGTTTGCAATGCTGGATTACAGATCGAGGACTCGACTATGTTTGCAAGTCTTGACTTACTGCTACATCCCAAGGTACGCCGGAAGCTGCCCTGCAGAGAACTGTTCTACCAGACTTGGAGCTCTGCTAGGCTGCGGCTCTAAGATTAACGGCCAAGATCAGACCAGACAATAGGCGAATGTTCCCTCCCCTCGGATTACATCACAGTCATTCCTGAATGACATCCAACAAGGAAGACACTGAGATCTGGCCTTCTACCAGGGTCCGAGGAGTCTGTGTTTTTGGCAGGGGTTCTTAACTGACCCGGGGACGCCAGTGAGCGCCAATTTGGCATAGTGGTCAAGAGTGGTGGACTCTAATCTGGGAGAACCGGGTTTGATTCCCCACTCCTCCACATGCAGCTGCTGGTGTGACTTTGGGCCAGTCACAAGTTTTCTCAGAGCTGTTCTCTCACAAGCAGTCCTCGAAAGAGTTCTCTCAGCCCCACCGACCTCACAGGGTGTCTGTTGTGGGGAGGGGAAGGGAAAGGAGATTGCAAGCTGCTCTGAGACTCCTTCGGGGAGTGAAGGGTGGGGTATAAATCCAGTCCAGTTTGGTGTCGTGGTTAAGTGTGCGGACTCTAATCTGGGAGAACCGGGTTTGATTAGTTCCCCACTCCTCCACTCGCAGCTGCTGGATGACCTTGGGCAAGCCATAGTTCTGTCAGAGGTGTTCTTGAAAAAGAGCCGTTTCTGTCAGAGCTCTCTCAGTCTCACCGACCTCACAGGCAGTGTTTCCTCTAAGCTAAGTTAGTGTGAGCTAACTCACAGTTTTTTAGCCTCCGGCTTACACATTTTTGTCTTAGCCCAGGAGGGCTCCAGAGCAAACTAATTCATGCAGCAGCCAAATCGTTCACTCACAACTTTAATACCAGTAGCTCATAAAGTAGAATTTTTGCTCACAAGACTCCACAGCTTCAGAGGGAGCATTGCTCACAGGGTGTCTGTTGTGGGGAGGGGAAAGGAGTTTGTAAACTGCTCTGAGACTCCGAGTGAAGGGTGGGGTATAAATCCAATCTCTTCTTCTTCTTTGCTCCAATGGTGACAAAATGTTACATTAAATTTTAAAATGGAAGTCTGAACAGCAATACTTGCCTTGTATGAGACCTTCACCACAGAAGGAGCCCATTTATCAAATTCATATGCCCAATTTGATAGAGTTCTAGAACGGAAGGGGAAAAAAACCAACAACAGTGAAAACCATCAGTGAAAACTCTTCACTTTGTGTAGCCTACCTGTTACACCAAAAAGGTATCAGCCAACCTGTCTGAAAGGCAGGGAGCCACGATATGCAGACAGGCCACCTAAAGAACAACAATGCTGCACAGGCCAGCTTTTCAAATGCACTGTACATTTCAGAAGAACATTACAAATTTACATCCAGGTAAGACGGCAGTGATTTGAACAGTGGTGGATTCAGTAAGCAGCACTAATTTTGGAAAGCCAGATTACTGATTTTTTCAAGCAGCCGTTTGCTCGTCCCAAAACTCATTTAATCTGCGTTTCCAAACAGTACATAAAACTCAATTCTTGTGAGGTACAGATGATTAAAAACTCTGGAGGAAACACATGGCAGACAAGCTCCCCATAGCTTACGTGTACATTTCCCATATCACAGCAGTTTGGCCAGTGTTCCCTCTAAGATGAGTTAGTGTGAGCTAACTCACAGTTTTTTAGCCTCCGGCTTACACATTTTCATCTTAGCTCAGGAAGGAGGGCTCCAGAGCAAACTGATTTATACGGCAGCCCAATCGCTCCCTCACAACTTTAATGCCAGGAGCTCACAAAGTACAATTCTTGCTCACAAGATGCTGCAGCTTAGAGGGAGCATTGGTTGTGCCCACCTGATTTAAACCAACCCCCATTGCATAGGTACCAAGAATGGAATGGGTTGTCTGAACTCATTCCTTGCCTGCAGAAGACTAACTGCTACCAGACGTGCCACTAAACACCTCCTTCATCATGCCCGTCTTTTGGCCATCATTTATTTACCTATTTACTCAATTTGTTGCCTGCCTTTCTCATTGAAACTCAAGGCAGATTACCCAGAGTACATAAGAACATCAGAGAAGCCAATGTTGGATCAGGCCAATGGCCCATCTAGTCCAACACTCTGTGTCACACAGTGGCCAGAAATACCAGGTGCCATCAGGAGGTCCAGCAGTGGGGCCAGGGCACTAGAAGCCCTCCCACTGTCCCCCCCCCCAAGCACCAAGAAGACAGAGCATCACTTGCCCCAGACTGAGAGTTCCTATCTATACCTTGTGGCTAATAGCCACCGATGGACCTCTGCTCCAGATGCTTATCTAATTCTCTCTTGAAGCCGCCCATGCTTGTAGCCGCCACCACTTCCTGTGGCAGTGAATTCCATGTGTTCATCACTCTTTGGGTAAAGAAGGACTTCCTTTTATCTGTTCTAACCCGACCGCTCAGCAAATTCATGGAGTGCCCACAAGGAGTTCTTGTATTGTGAGAAAGGGAGAAAAGTACTTTTCTCTACCTGCTCTATCCCATGCATAATCTTATAAACCTCGATCATGTCACCCCTCAGCTGTCATTTCTCCAAGCTAAAGAGCCCCAAGCGTTTTAACCTTTCCTCATAGGGAAAGTGTTCCAACCCTTTGATCATTCTAGTTGCCCTTTCCTGCACTTTTTCCAGAGCTATAATATCCTTTTTGAGGCGTGGTGACCATTGCTCCCTCTAAGCTGTGGTGTCTAGTGAGCAAAAAGTCTACTTTGTGAGCTACTGGCATTAGTGAACACGCGATTTGGCTACTGCATAAATTAAGTTTGCTCTGGAGCCATCCTTCCAGAGCTAAGACAAAAATGTGAGAGCTGGAGGCTAAAAAACCGTGAGCTAGCTCACACTGACTCAGCTTAGAGGGAACACTGGTGGTGACCAGAACTGTACACAGTACTCCAAATGAGGCCACACCATCGATTTATGCCGGGGCATGATGATATTGGCGGATTTGTTTTCAATTCCCTTCCTAATAATCCCCAGCATAGTGTTGTCCTTTTTTATTGCAGTCGCACAGTGTCTCGACATTTTCATTGAGTTATCCACTATGACTCCAAGATCTCTCTCTTGGTCAGTCTCTGCCAGTTCGGACCCCATCAATACGTATTTATATTTAGGGTTTTTGGCTCCAATGTGCACCACTTTGCACACGGCAAAACAATGCTGTCAAACAGCACAATGCATCCAACAAACAACGCAATAGGACTCAGATCACAAAAATTGGAAGCAGTGTTTAACAAAAAGGTGTCAGACCTGATATGTGATAAACAGCACAGGAAATGGAATTATAAAAGTAGAAATCAATGCAGTAAGAGCAAGATAAAAACAGGTTGCTTACCTCTAACTGATGATCTTCGAGTGGTCATCTGTGCATTCACACCCATGGGATTCAGTGCGCATGCGCTGGATCGATCGGCATTGTAGCAAGCTCTTAACGGATTTTTGCGCCCAGACCTCGGGCATGCGCAGGAACCCCACCACGCATGCCCAGAGGGGTGGGCGCGGACATCATGCCAGTTCCTTCGAACCGCCGTGAATCAACCCTTATGGAAAATGTAGAAGCTGACAGCAGCGGGGAAGGAGGGCGGGTGGTGTGAATACACAGATGACCACTCGAAGATCATCAGTTACAGGTAAGCAACCTGTTTATCTTTGACGTGGTCTCTGTGCTTCACACCCATGGGAGATTAGCGAGCAGTGGCCTACCTGGAGGAGGGTGCTGGCAGGTCCTTACTGCGTAGCCGAAGATAAGATGTGACGTCCCATGTTGGTACTAGAGTTCTTACGGACGTCTAGGGCTTAGTGCCTTATGAATGTGTTAGGCGTAGCCCACGTAGCGGCTCTGTAAATGTCAGTTAGGGGAACTCCCTGGAGGAAGGCAGTTGAGGCTGCAACAGCTCTGGTGGAATGAGCCCTGATAGGGCCAGGCAATGGCTGCTTGGAGATAAGGTAGTAGAGGCGGATGAGACCTGCAATCCACTTTGATAAACGCTGAGCCGTGATGCGTGTCCCTAGCCTTGCTGGCGCATAGGAGACAAACAGTTGACAATCACGTCTCGTTGGACGCTCTGCGCCCGGAGGGCGACTAAGGAGCTCCACTGTCTCGATATCGGAGTAGGGACGCTCAAGTTGGTGTATAGGAGAGTCCAAGAGTTGGATGGTCGGTATTGGTGGAGGGGCATGGGTCTCCGATGCCGATACAGCCGTTGGAGCGGATAGCACGTTAGGGGCATTACCCAGTGCAGACACTGCTTTCTCTCCCTTTTTCGCCGCTTTTAGGGACTTAGGGGGGCCCTTTCTTTTTGCGGACTTATGCTCCTTACTGGCCTTCGGCTTCTTCACCGGAGTGGAAGATTGTGCCTTCGATGCCGGAGGCTTCGACGTCGATTGGCCGATGTCGGAGGAAGGCCTCGATGCGGAGCCGTCGACGTGGATGGTCTGTCTGAATCCATCGCTGAGGGAGGATTTAAAGCCGACTCAAGTAGCACTACTTTAAGACGCGCAGCTCGGTTTTTTTCTTGTCTGGTTCGAAAAAGCTGGCACAGAGCCGACAAGATTCTGGTCGGTGAAAGTTCCCCAAACAGAAAAGGCAAAGGGTGTGATGGTGAGGTGGAGCAAGTTTACTGCCGCAACCCTTGCAGCGATTGAAAAATCCCCACTTCTTCTCCATAAACGAAGTAAAAAGAGAGAAGAAGAAGGGGTTGGGGGTGGCCAAAGGCCAGACTGAGGTAAACCCACACTTCCCCCTCAACAAAAAACAGGTTTTTTTTTTAATTCTATAAAGAACAAACAAGGAAATAGTAAGAAAAAGGACGAAAAGTGAGGGAAAAATCCGAAGAGCCGTGAGGCAAAGGCCAAAAATAGCGAACCGATCAGACCGACGAAAGAAAGGTCTTTCCAACGCGGTGGTAGGAAAGGAACTTGCGGGATGTCCGCACCCTCCCCTCTGGGCATGCATGGTGGGGTTCCTGCGCATGCCCGGGGTCTGGGCGTGAAAATCCGTTAAAGAGGTGGCTACAACACCGATCGATCCAGCGCGTGTACACTAGACCCCATGGGTGTGAAGCACAGAGACCACGTCAAAGATCCAGTGTTGCCTCTAAGCTGAGTCAGTGTGAGCCAGCTCACAGTTTTTTAGCCTCTAGCTCACACATTTTGGTCCTCGCTCAGGAAGGAGGGCTCCGGAGTAAACTAATGTATGCAGCAGCCAAATCGCTCGCTCACAACTTTAATGCCGGTAGCTCACAAAGTAGAATCCTTGCTCACAAGGCTCCACAGCTCAGAGGGAGCATTGCACTCAACCGGCAGCCGTTTGTTCAGCTCAGAGGGTCGCAGCAGGAGTATTCCAAGCCATCTGTGACACCCTTTCACACACATGGCCGGTGTTTGTATGTGCGAACCCAAACCTTTGCAGACTCAAGCGCCTAAGGAGCCCAGAAAGAATACTTACGACAGAGGTACTATAATGAGGAAGGGTCCGTTAATACGTTTGTGCTCCATGAGGTATGTAATTAAAGCGATGGTCTGGATCGTCTTGCCCAGACCCATTTCGTCCGCCAGGATTCCGTTTAGGTTATTATTGTACAAGGATACCAGCCACTCCAAGCCTTTGATCTAGGGGAAGAGGAAAGGGAACACGGGCGCGTTACGCCTGGTAGAAGAGAGTGTCAATACTTACTTCCATAAAGCACGGTTTAGAGCCACACTGCACAGTGCAGCAAGCACATTGTGTGAAGCTACAAGCGTCCCCTTGCCCAGCTGGTACAGGGGTTTGGGCTGGGGTGTCGTCAGTATGCAGATGACACCCAGCTCTATCTGTTGATGGAAGACTCCCCGGACTCCACCCCAGAAAATCTGAGTTGGAGGCCACGGTTGGGTGGTTGCAGCAGAGCCGGTTGAAACTTAAATCCAACGAAGACAAAGAAGAAGAGATTGGATTTATACCTGCCCTTCACTACCCAAGGGAGTCTCAGAGCGGCTCACAAACTCCTTCCCCTTCCCCTCCCCACAACAGACACCCTGTGAGGTCGGTGGGGCTGAGAGAGCTCTTTCGAGAACTGCCCTTTCAAGGACAGCTCTGGTCAGGACTATAGCTTGCCCAAGGTCATCCAGCAGCTGTGAGCGGTGGAGTGGGGAATCAAACCCAGTCCTCCCAGATTAGAGTCCGCACACTTAGCAAGGTTCTGTACCTGAGCGAAGGGGGGGGGGAGGAGCTGAATTGGGAATCAGGCTGCCCACCTTGGATGGCGCATCACTTGTGCCAGTCCAGAAGGTGAGGAGCCTGGGGGTGGGTCCTGGATGCCTCGCTCTCTACGGAGGCCCGGGGTCACCACGGTGGCCAGGTCTGCCTCTTGTCATCTCTGGCAGATCAGGCAGCAGGCTACTTACCCCCCCCCCCCCAGACTTGGCCACAGTGGCCTATGCAATGGTCATTTCCAGGCTCAATTGTTGTAACTCGCTTTACACGGGCTTGCCCTGGTGGCTGATCCGGAAACTCCAGCTAGTGCAAAATGCGGCGGCGCACCTGCTGACTGTGTTGCCTGAGCGGGCACGCATTCCGGCCGGCGCTACACCAATTGCACCGGCTACCGATTGAGTACCGGATCCGTTTCAAGGTACTGGTATTGACCTTGAAAGCCTTGCGTGGCCTGGGACTGACATACCCGAGGGACCGCCCTTTCCCCATACGTGCCCTGGAGAGCCTTGCACTCTGCCGGCCAAGAACTGCTGGTTATCTCGGGCCCAAGGGACATTCGCTTAGCCTCGGCCAGGGCCTTTTCTGTCCTGGCTCTGGTCTGGTGTGGAACAGACACTCCTGTGAGATCAGGGCCTTGCAGGACTTATTACTGTTCCGCAGGGCCTGTAAAACGGAGCTGTTCCGCCAGACCTTTGGCTGAGACAGCGGGCATCTAATAAAAATCCCGACCTCCCCTCCTGAAATTCACCACTTCTATGTGTCCCAGATCAGTGTTCCCTCTAAGCTGAGTTAGTGTGAGCTAGCTCACCGTTTTTTAGCCTCTGGCTCACACATTTTTGCCTTAGCTCAGGAAGGAGGGCTCCAGAGCAAACTGATGCAGCCAAATCGCTGGCTCTCAACTTTAATGCCGGTAGTTCACAAAGTAGAATCTTTGCTCACAAGACTCCACAGCTTAGAGGGAGCATTGCCCCAGATTAAGAAGATCTTAGAGACCCAAACGGCACCAGCTTGGAAACTTTGCACATAGACAAACAGTGCGGTCTGTTTTAATTTATGTCGTTTTTGAATTGCTTTTAATTATTCTTCAATATTATATCCAATGTGTTTTGGAATCTATTTTGTGATCTGCCCTGAGCCCGCTTGCGGGGAGGGTGGAATATAAATTGAAACAAACAAATACCAGGTTGCCCACCGTTCCGTTTAGAGCAGAACTGCCCCCTCGCCCTGGCAGCGGCACCTCAGACTGCTAAGGAGGGACACGCCCTGCTCTGCCGCCTGAATTCCCCTCTGCATGCAAAACTGCCACTCTCCCAACGACCCCTCCCCGCATTCTAACAGGGCGCAGGTCAGGTCTGTTCGGAAGCTGAGGCCCTTCCCCCTCCCTGCCTCTCTCACCTGGTACTGTTTGAGGACACCGTTCACCATGAGTGAGGACTGCTTGTCCACCCTTTCAGTGACTGCGTGGGCCACCGCATAATAAGACTGCAGCCCCCTTGCAAGGGCTTGGGACACTCCATACTCATCATCAACATCCTTTAGCATTCCTAGGGAGAGAATTTGAACAGAGATGTTTTTGTTTTGTTTTTTTAAGGCAAGGCTTTTCCATTTCTGGCCTCCAGCAACTCATCTTCAACCCTCTAGCCTGAGGCTTGACCAAAGCAAGAGTGAAAGCAACCTCGTTTTCCCCGTGAAAGCTCTTAAACCTTCTTCTTTGTTTCTGACTGGCAGCCAAGGTTAAGTTCTGGGCACGAGTTTCAGAAGCCACCAGACACCTCAGATCGAAGGAGTTTGCCTTGTGTGTTTGGTCTCACTGGGAAATCAACTGGCAGGGTTTAGCAGGGTCCAAAAAACCAGCACACAGAACTATCCAGACAGGTTCAGAGGGTAGCTGTGTTCGACTGCAGGAGAATATCTAGAGTTGCATCCTTAGACAGCAACAAAGATTTCTGGGTTCAGGTGGGTAGCCACGTTAGTCTGAAGCAATACAACAAAGTAAAATTTGGGTCCACTGGTGCCTTTAAGACCTGTACGTGCATGCACACGAAAGCTTATACCCAGAATTAAACTTTGTTGGTCTTTAGAGGTGCCACTGGACTAAAAAAACGAAAAGATTTTTGGGGTATAAGCTTTTGAGAGTCAAAATTCCCTTGGTCAGATACACGACGAAGAGGGTTTTTACTCTCACAGAATCACAGGGTTGGAAGGGACCTCCAGGGTCATCTAGTCCAACCCCCCCTGCACAATGCAGGAAATTCACAAATACTGTCCCCCTCTAAAGTTCATACCCCAAAAATCTTATTGTTCTCTAAGGCACTACTGGAGTCAAATCTTAACCACCCAGACAGACAACGCGATGAGTGCAAATCTTGCTGCTGGGCTTGCACACTTCCTCCTTTCCTTGCACGGGAAGCCACAATTGTGTACTTTCTGGGTTAGGAGCTTCTTTGACGAGACTCCACTCTGTTGCGACATCAGAAAGCCGGTGCCTCAAGAAACTGGAATGTGCCCCTTACATCTGTGCCCACATGGGGAGAGAGAGAACAACACCCATCAGAAGGGGAAAGGAGAGAACCTTCTCATTGTCTGTAAGCTGCCAAAGGGGTCAGGAGAGGAGACAAAGGAGATGGCAAACGGCTTGGGCAGTGGTGGCCTAGGTAGAATCTGGACCTTTCTGTTCCTGGACCCAACACTTGTGCGTTTGTAAGCCTGCAAACGCAACGGCGAGGACCTCCTCTTCCTGTTACAAACTTGCTTTACCAGCCCCGAAAGAAGAATGGCTTCCCATCCAGCCCTCAACAGGTTACCTCCGTACGCCTGTACCTTGCAAACGGTCTGACACTTAACAGGAAAAACTGGAAAGACGCTTAACTGGCATACGCACGGACTTGGCAAGAACAAAACGAAAACCCACTCTATGATGTGCCGCGCATCCACTTCGGACACGTCATCGCTGTCTGGATCGGGAATCTTTTTCTTCTCTTCCACAGCCAAAGAAGGCTGAGCAGGTTGCGGCTGTTCCTCTTCCTCCTCCTACCGGAAATTAAGACCACATCGGAATATGCACGCAGAGTGTGATCACTTACAGTATGAATGGCTGCTCAAGAATCAGTTAATAAAAAGAGCCCTCAAGCAAGGTTCCCATCCAGAACAGAAGACATTCCCTACGCGAATAGCTCCCTGCAAGGAGAGAAAAAAGACACCGGGGGGGGGGACACCAGCCCGGCCCACACCTTGGTGTGCTTACTTTCCTCGTGCAGGAAAGGTTCATATCAGGCACCCCCCCACCCTTTAGAGGCTGTGGGCATCTTTGGAACTCTGACATGGTGCAGTTAGCACAACTACAAAATGGCTGCCACAGGAGGCGAAGCCAGCCACAAAATGGCTGCCACAGTGAGGATTCCTTGTGCTGTGGTGGCAGCTGCGGCCAAAGCAATGTTTCAGAAAATCTGGCCAGCCAATCAAATCCCCCACGGCCAAACAGAAGCCTTGCTGGGCAAAAGCCACATCTGGCCCCGCCCACTCACTAAAAACACCTAGTGACAGTGTTCCCTCTAAGCTGAGTTCGTGTGAGCTAGCTCACAGTTTTTTAGCCTCCGTCTCACACATTTTTCATTTTTATTTATTTTTTATTATTATATTTTTATCCCGCCCTCCCCGCGAACGGGTTCAGGGTGGCTAACAAACAAGGGCACCATGTGCCAAGTATAAAACATTAAAATGCATAAAACCAACCATTTTATCAAAACTAAAGTGCTCAGTGATGTTAATTAATCATTTCTGTCTTAGCTCAGGAAGGGATGGCTCCAGAGCAGACTAATTTATGCAGTAACCAAATTTCTCGCTCACAACTTTAATGCCAGTAGCTCACAAAGTAGAATTTTTGCTTACAAGACTCCACAGCTTAGAGGGAGCATTGCTTGGCGGGAATGAGGAAAGAGGTCAGTGGGCCCTGTGATGCACATGGGAACCAGAAGAAGAGATTGGATTTATACCCCACCCTTCACTACCTGAAGCATTCTTAGAGTGGCTTACAAACTCCTTTCCCTTCCCTTCCCCACAACAGACACCCTGTGAGGTAGGCAGGGCTGAGAGAGCCCTGACAGAAACTGCTTTTTTTCAAGGACAGCTCTTGTCAGAACTATGGCTTGCCCAAGGTCATCCAGCAGCTGCAAGTGGAGGAGTGGGGAATCAAACCCGGTTCTCCCAGATTAGAGTCCGCGCACTTAGCCACTACACCAAACTGGCTCTCCCCAACCATGTTGGAGACCCCTGCTCTAAAGTACGCAGAGGAATATTACCAAAAATGTCATCCCTCCAATGGCGGAACTTCTGCAGTCCGATCTACTGCTTTAGCACTCAGCCACTTATCTGTGTCCCCCCCCCATCCCCAGCAGATATAGCTTCAAGATGATCACGAAATACTGACTTCGCAAGAGCACCATTTGTGCACACGGTACTGTGGTCACAGAGACATGAACAACACATCAAAGAACAGACCAGGCAGATTAGCTGAACAGAGTACTCAGAAAACATCTTACAGGAACCCAAAAGGAGAACCTGAAACATACACGCGCTGGCTATAGTCTGCCAGTGTGTGAGCCTTCCTGAACCACAAGCACAGCTGTTGTGGTGTCACCACAAGAGCCCAAAGAACAGATGTGAAGGCAGAGCAAGGTGGGGGTTTGCAGAAACAGCCTAGAAAGGAGGTACGGTGCAGATCTGAAAGCCATCGGCTAAAGGGAACCTGAGGGAAATGCCTCAAGAGGACAGGGGAGTAGAGATGTAAAATTTCCGGAAATTTTGAAGCTCAGGAAAAAAAACTGGGTTCTTTTTCAGAGGAAAACGGACATTTTTTGGGAAAATTGAAAAAAAAAATGCTACATTAGCACTTCTTTTTTTCTTTTCCAGATTGAAAGTCATTCTGTTACTTTAGGAACATAAAATATGACTATGGAAATTTTTACTTGCTCGTTAAAATAAAATGTTCCATAATCATTTTTTCCCTTCAGGGGAAAAAAACACGGTTATTTTCCGGGCCTTCACATCTCTGCAGGGGAGGAAGGAGAACATGGGGGCTTGCTCCTAATTCAAACACTTGAAATGTAACTAGAAGTAAGATAAAAATTATTAATTTCAAAAAAAAAATTATAACAAAACAATATTCCATTCAGCTTCATGTTTCTTTCCATTCTAAATAACCATGTTTGTTCCAGGATAGTGTGAAGAAAGTAAAAAAGAAGTTAAGCTGTAATAATTTGAAAATGGAACCAGAAGATAATTTGAAGAAAGTAAAAAAGAAGTTAAGCTGTAAAAATTTGAAGAATGTAAAAAAGAAGTTAAGCTGTATCAAGAGGCTGACACTTTTCAACATAATAGGATTACTCCTGAGGAAGACGGGTGAAATGAGTTTATAACCGGGTGCCCAACTGAGGATGATGGACTTTTCCTTGAGAATATTAGAATTTCCTTAGTAATATTTGTAAGTTTCCTTTGTAATATAATTTGATGTTCATAGATTTATTAAATGTCATTGTCATTTTCATCACAGTGTTTTGTTTGTTTGACATATTTCCCTGTTACTTTGATCCCTTTTTCTGGTTTGCTTAGTCCAGCCTGGCTGACTCAACTTCCAAAGTACCTAAGCAAGAATGTTGCGCTGATAATAAGAACCGCCTTGACTTCTGGCCAAGGTAAAGAGCTGCTCAAAGTAAGAACCGAGAGCAGAAGAGAAGCTGAAAAGGGGACTGGAGCGGCAGACACAACACTGACATTTCCAGACACACCCACCTCCAAAGGTAAGCGATGCTCCCGAGTTAATGGCATGATTTCATTTCTCGTTTTGGGCCTAGCTCAGAGAAGACAAGATTAAGGAAACAAACTAAAAGGCAAACATTCCTGC